ACCCTGTCTCGTCAAAGTTGTATATATCTTCATCGGCAATCCCATATTCCTCTTTGAGCTGCTTAATCTCCTCAAAAAAGCCACCAATAACGACTGGATCCTCACAAAGAGCTCTAGAATAGGATAATCGGTGTGCGAATTTAGCCTTGAGATCCGGTTGTCGCTTAAGAAAGGTTGTTACCCAATTCTTACCAACCTTCTCAGGTATTTTGGTAGGATCTCTTTGAGCTAGCAAAATATTTGCCATTTCATGGAGCATATGCTGCCTAGGCGGAACGCCACGGCGCTCTAGTGAGAAGACCCAACCCCGGAGTACAGCTTCTTCTGTAGGGGTTATCTTTCTGCGTGTAATACCGGCATTATGCGCTGGAACTGAGCCCTTCAGGCGCCTTCGCAGTGTTGTTAAAGATACGTCAAAAGTGCGTGCGGCGTCGCGTAATTTCGTGATTTTTTCGTTATTTAGCGCATCAATAGCAAGAGAAAGCCTCCCTTCATAGCTAGGATCATTTTTCGTACGCGATTTAACCATTTTTTAATGCTGTTGGTTCTGCGGAAAGTTGTTGCTAGAAATCCGGATGGAATTTTGATGTGGTGTGCCACTTACCCGGGTGCGCCGCTTACCCCTGAAACACATTAACTACAGCTGTGCTGACCCCTTTACGGAGGTCACATGACTCTCGGAACATAGTTGATCCGCGCCGGAGGGAGATTCACGGGTGTAGCACGCTGACATATCTATTGGAAGTTTTCCGTACTAGTTCTAACTGGGTTAGGCCAACCAAAGAAGTTTCTTAGAGTAGGGATTTTTCTGATATTCGTGCACACTATCTAAAACTTCGCTATCTGACAATCTTGATCCTTTTTATACTTACATTCTCAATGAAAATGACATCACTAAAAACCACAATCTGTGCTTAATCGAACTTTCTAGATGTAGGTTGTGAAGCTGATTTGTAATATCAACCTTGTGTTGGTATGCGAAATCGATATAGAATCTGATTCTCGAAATTTCCTGTTGATCAATATTCATACGATTCTCTAAATCCTATTCCCAAAAGGGAATAGCGTAGTTTAGTTCCAACACTATCCAGATCTCGACTGCACCCTCGCATCCAACAGCAACCTCATCGCTAGTATACACCCAATAAAGAGGATTCTGGTTCTCTTGCTAAATGATCTCAGCTCAAGGTTTAAGAGGAGACTAAAGACTCCCTTTGTCGCGCAATACAATCTGTGTTATCACGTCTGCTAAACAACGACTGACTATCTGCTTTCTCTGCGTTGGTAATCCCAGTATTCCGCTGTTAGAACAGATTAAGGACAATGCAAGCCCCAGATCCCTAACTAGATATTTTCAGAGGAAACACTTGAATCCACCGTGATCCACTGAAAAAGTTGAGTGTTACATTTGTGAGAGAGAGCTGATTCAACACAAAAAAGACCTTCTTATTCATGCAGAGACTGCCCATGGAACAGTTGTTCGTGGACGTGATCAGGCAAAACTAGCACTAGAATATCAGTAATTAGATAGAACAATTCCTAGAATGCATATATATCAAACAGAAGAAAGCTAAGTCTTTGGATCCTTATCGTTATCGAATTGCTCATCATCCTTTCAATATACACAAGGGGAAGGTACACCGGGCTGGCACTAGATGCAGCACTCAGTGGAGGTCAAGCCAAATTCAGCAATTGCTAGTAGTAGTCAGATGATGGGTCTATTTAATTAGATTGATTACTCAGGGAGTGCATTGAGCACTGGGCCAGTACCAGTCAATTCAACGTAGTGTCTCTACCAACTGAAATTCATGACTAGCATATTGCTGGCTGGGGATGCATATACAAAATACCCAAATGAAGCTATTCAATGTATTGGCAAAAATGGTGCTCACTTTAATCGTTTAACATTGTTACCCTAGCCATTATCAAGCAAAGCGCCCGAACCGACATTCTAAAAGTCTTTTTTGACTATAATTTACATGTACCATAAGAAATAACATACAATCTAGAAAAATAAACCATGCTTCTGAAATTACATGTCATCATGATGAAAAGTATTTCTTCTGCTCTTTCTCTGCCAATTTCAATGATTTGGAAGCCATTTTGCAGCGTGTCTACCAGATTTCTTAAGGGAAACAATAGTGGCTGGCTCATATCAAAATCACTTCCATTAGGCATGAGATAGCCCAATCTCAAAGGAATATCCTGGATGGTTGTAAGGTCGATCAATTTGCCTGGTGAAAAGGCGGCCTCGTTCAGGATACATTGCTTGTCGTCATCACTGTACCATAAATGTATTGATAGCTTGAAGCTACCGACAAGGTGAATTTCCCTAGATTGATACCATTGGAATATATGATTAGAGAGCTTGTCACGACTAGTTTCCTGAAATTCAACCTCAGATAGGCCCCATTTGTTGTTCAAAGTATCCCGTCTACCTTTCTCCTGAACATCAACAAGTATCACAAGTTTAGTTTAACGATTGCTACCTTTTAACCATCGCTTTGCATCATCATAGAGCTTCGTTGTAGTCTCAGAAATGCCGACTTCAAGAACCACAACTGGCCATTTAGCTTTGAAATTCATGAGAGACGCATCTGCTTGTTTTGAAGAGCGGCAGGATTTGCCGGTCAATAAACAATCTAGGACTATAGTTAATTTGCTGAAGGTAAGCACTAGATAGGTTTAAGAAGATACTTACTTTTGCTTCCAGTCAAGAAGTAGAGGGAGCCAGTAGCTGCACTCATTCTGTCTCGCAGAGGTAACAGAAGTTCATAGAGGATGCCGGTAGCAGCTTCACGCATCCAGCCTGGACCTCCTTTCAAGATAATACATGCATTCTGAGCATCGTATTCCACACCGCGAATACCATCACTAATTTTATCAAGCCAGTCATAGTACTGTGCAGGCGAGACCTTGAACTTGTCCATAATAATAGACTGCTCAGAGAGACACCTTAACTCCATAATATCTTCGGCGGAGAGATCGTCCAATGAGTGAACTCGGTCAAGAATATGGTCTATTTGATCTTGCGTCTGATGCCCCATGTTGACGGCAGTTGGGGTACCTTTAGAAAAGCTGTTCGATGATGGCTCTTCGGCGTATTTTTATATGCTGAAGGACGAGTTAATGTTCCAAAGGCCGGCAGAGCGACTCCTGGTCGGTGGTAGTACCTCGACCATTGTTCAAGATTAATTATGGAAACCCTACTCTTCGTCTTGAGGTTCAGCTCAAGAGGTGTTCAACCAATCGAGTTAATGAGAATGTTTGATTCTAAGGAAGAAGATTATCAGCTGAAACTTCCTACTTGTCAAGAGAAGTATTTATATAAGAGTAAAGTCATAACAGCTCTTTCATTTCATTATTCCTGACCATCTCTGAAATGTTTTGATTCATCCTTTGTATGGTTCATTATTTCCGGACCTTTGATATCTGCTTATTAGTACAGGAATGATTCTTTGAGGGCTACCATATACCTTTCCATCACGTTCTTAGCCATTAATAGTCAGTTATTTTATAAAGCTCAATTCAAAATCCTTTCACAAGCAGCGTAGATATCCGCTAGCCGTATGTTTTCTCAAATCGTGCAAAGAATTTCAAAGATCCATTTATGCTGAAAGGTTCCTTTGTCAATAGCTTCATGAAGGGCTTTATAGAATGACTTGCTTTATGTGGACTGACCACAGTCACTAGATATCTAGAGAAGCTCCGGACAACAGCGTATATACAGAGTGATTTGCATTCTGCACACTGGACAATACTGTGGCTCAATAGTGTTGATACAAGGATGTTACGGGCTAGTCCCGCCTAACGCTCACTATAAGGGCATACTCGAATAGAAAACGTAACATGAGGAAAGGAAAGAGAAAGAAAACAACAAGTTCTTCACGCATGTACAATCTTATATAGGCAAGGGGAATCGGGAGCTTCTGACGGGCTTCTCTCTAGGAATAGCCTCATGTCCGGGTTGCTGAGATTGTTGGGGTTGCCGGAGATCGACAGAGAGCGCTATTGTCAATATCCGGCCGGATATTGGATGTCCACTCGTGATCTGGGAATAGCCTCATGTTCGGGGCTGTCGGGGATCGGCGAAAGGCGCTATTGTCAATATCCGTGAGGGTTTCGCCGAACATGCTCATGAGGTCAGCTCATAACAAGGAGCATAGAACATATAACCACAGTTAAGAATATTCCATGGTTCTTCAAACTGATAATAGAATTGACACTGGACAGATTAGCTTTCAGAAAGACGCTGTTAGAGGTTTTCATTCTATTTTTCTGAGAGGAATAACTTTTTAACAAGATCTTTATTCTGCTGGATTAGCAGCGATATTACTTCTTGGTATAACTTTTTCTCATTTATCTAAGCCCCTTGAAGCTTCTGAGACCTTTGCGTGAATTGATCCTACCGAGGTATCAGTACCTAGATACAAATATAGATTAAGAATGGGTACCTACAAGCAAGCAATCAATATTCGGCTGTTCGGTAGATAGATTGGAGGAAGAAACTAAACTCCTTGCGTCATCACAGTCTAGGAGGTATAAATTAGCATTCTCCTTATACGTAACAGCTCTGAAAGTCCTTTTTCCCTCTCACTATCACGTTTAACGGGAAATTGATTAGATACTCCTGCTCTGTGGGCATCTTCGCTATACAAGGACTGCCTATCAGAATCCTGCCGCGGGGGTAGGATCTCATCGAGACATAGGGTAGACGGAGAGGAGTTTCTTTGTGCAGTTTCGTCCTGTGGAGAGTCCGAGAGGTAACTGTCACTTAGTAGAAGTGAAGCGAGGGATTCCCATCTATTCATTCCTCCTATAGCCGTTGAGGTTACTGAGCAAATTAGAGAGAGATTTAGAAAGGAAGAAATTCGGAAGGTGGAAAATCATGGGAATATATACCCATGCCAATAACCATATATGGGTTGGTCTCCTTGTGGGTCTAGTTGATACTTTGATCGAGTGGCTAGAAATAGTGTATATTATTGCTATGATTTGTTCTGAAAAAGAGCCTCGGTGTACTTGGTGAGGCTAATCCTCTAATCCTAGCTACTAATAGGTTTCTCGATAGCTGTGATAGCTTGTCAACGACCATCAGCACCTTCATATCAAAGAGAAATCCATCTGTTGTCCGGATCTCCCGGAGTGAGTAATAGTTAAGTGATCTTTCTTCCAGTAGCTGTGGGCTCGGAGTTGATATGTGCCTTCTGCACTTTTGAGGCTACATCTCATGTTCGGCTTGAAAGCTTTCCTGCTTCTTTTAAAGAATAACACTTCAATCAAATGGATGCATGTCGAAATGCAAGCGGCCAATAATAATGGCATTCGACTCAGCACTGAGTTCTATCAGCAAATATAAGACACTTTAGGAGCGTGGGTGAACTAACTTGGTCCATATGACGAGTTCTGATGTACTGTCTCCACCTCTCGATTAGTATAAGCAAATTATAACCAGTAGATGATACTGACAAGTGGAGCCTGGATCATTAGCAAGCTCTGGTAGATGGGTACACTTTACAATTGCTACAATTGCAGCACTTGATAAACAATTAGCATCACCACGCTAACTGAAGTTGGGGAGCACTTACCAGGCCCTGAGAGTGAAGGAAAACAGGAGTATGGCTTTTCTCCTCTTAGGTAAGTGATTACACTTTGCAGTTGACAGCATCTTACAAATGCCCAGTGGTGATGTTGCCGAGATAATCGGCAACGGACAGGGTATTCCGTGGGGGTTCCCCGTGGGGAATATCGGGTATTGGCCTACACATAACACATAATTTTCCCAGTTATATTACGATCCCATAGATTGACTACTACCTTGCCTTCAATTTTGTGACGGTTATATAGATAATATCGCCAATCAGTCCGTAAAGATGTTCGGAATGTTGATGGTCGGATCCTACAACATGCAAATGTGTAAGGACGTTTGCTGAACCCTTTATAAGATATGATAACTAAAAACTACAAGTGCTTATATACATAGAATAAAACAAAGTGTAAATAATACTTGTTAAAGCATATCAACCTCATTTGTAAACACAAAATAAAAATATTCTTTGTGTTTAGTAGTTTGACCATAGTGTAATCTAGGGCCATGTATTCTCAATTATGAGTTCATAGCATAAAATTAAATTCGAATGGAGTCGGCTATTGAATCCAGATCAATTGCCGTCACACTTGAGGTTGGTTATCATCTGACCAGAAGTAAAATAACAGGTAAAATACTATCTTTTCATGATATGACTTCTATTAAATAATAAATTCTCTCTACTTGCGTATATCATTACCAAAGAAGCGCATGCGACTTTCCCAGGCTCAACCGGTTTATCATTGATATATCCATCATGGTCCAGATTGTGAAAGGTATGTTGGCGAATCCAGTATCATCATGCGGAGGTATAGAAAAGAAAATTAACTGAATAATAATATCCAGCGCATCCATCCTTGGAGACATTGAAAAGTCTAGATGAAATAGAGCAGCTAGCAACCAGAACACTGGATAAAGAATCATGGGCGTTCAATTTTGCCGCGTCAGGAGACCTCATCACCAAATGCCTAAATACAGAAGCTTTCAATTCGATTCTGTTGCGTCCTCGCATCTTTATTGACGTCAGCAGATGTGACTTATCAACAACGATAATGGGACAGCCATCAGGGCTCCCAATTTTTATTTCTCCAATGGCAATGGCTCGACGATTCCACCCTAGTGGAGAGGCTGGTGTTACCCAAGCATGTTGTAAATTTGGTGTTATGCATATAATCTCAAACAATGCTTCCATGACCCCGGAGGAGATTGTGGAAAATGCAGCACCAGATCACGCGCATGGATTTCAGCTTTATGTGCAAATGGACCGGAGAGAAAGCGAAGCAGTGCTGGCACGAATCAATAAGCTGAAAGTGATCAAGTGCCTTGTTTTGACTCTCGATGAGCCTGTTCCAGGAAAACATGAGCTTAAAGGACAGCATGGTGGAAAAGCAGAAATCCAGGATAGATTCGAACCGTCACCACAGCTCACACCTGCTGTGCCATCAATTTCTGGGCCAGCATACAACCTCACATGGAAAGATACACTTAGCTGGATTACGCAACATACAGAGCTACCTATTGTTCTAAAAGGAATCCAAACACATGAAGATGCTTATATTGCTTCTCAATTTCCTCAAGTGAAAAGTATTATATTGTCGAACCATGCTGGGCGGGTACTTGATACTGCTCCTCCCGCAGTGCATACATTGCTTGAAATTCGCAAATATTGCCCGGAAGTCTTCGACATAGTGGAAGTATTAGTTGATGGAGGTATTCGAAGGGGCACAGATGTGGTAAAAGCATTGTGTTTGGGCGCCAAAGGTGTTGGTATTGGTCGATCGGTATTCTGGGGTCTTGGGGCTGGAGGGGTTCGTGGAGTTGAGAGGACAATTGAAAGTGAGTTCCTATCAATCCGGAATAATTTGCTTATGCTAACGCATTCAATAGTTTTGGCGGATGAGATAAAAACTTGTATGCAGTTGTTGGGTGTGAGAAGAGTGGCAGACCTGGGTCTTCAGCATGTAAGTTATTAGGTTCAAGTATTCTTCAAGCCCGTTACAATATGGCTGACTCATAGACTTCTCTCTCTAGGTCAATACATCAATAATAGAGCAACAAATCTACAAGAGCCCATCAGGTCTTGAGGGTGTAAAAGTATTAGTATAAATATCTTTGTCGATTGGCAAGTCCGTGAGAACATTAGAATGTTGCGGAACATTAGGGTTAGGGTCAATACTTGCTCTTGTAAATACAGGTTCCTGTCATTCTTTGGTGTGCCTTGTCATCCATATAGAAATAATCCTGAAAACTATCTAAACTCCCGACACCTCGTTTAAGCACCCCGCGATTTGGGGTTGGAGTACTCCATGCATTCGGAACTCTCGGAACCCATTGTTGTACGTATCGGGATCCCGCAGTCAGATAAACCCTGTCAATATGTGGGTTGTCGGTATCGGCATTTATGATTTGTGGCAATCAATAGCCGACTTTGGTACTCAGGTTTCAACCAAAACGTTCATTTCCCTGAGTTCTTGAAGCTTAAAGTTATGGCTTTTTGATGCTTATTCTTACTTGTTTCTAACCTTCCAAAGCACTGTCCCTGTTACCGAAACCTAAGATCGTAGATTAGTAGATAGAGGCGTCTCTTAAAGGTAATAACCTGCCCTGATGTACAGCGAATTGCACCATCGAGCGGAATAGCCCGACAATCGGATAGCCGACAACGGAGTTTGTATCTAGTCTCCACGCGGTTATTGAAATCTGGAGTTGTGCTCATCTCTATGGGGATTTCCGTGTAGATTTCTAATCTACTCGCCTTGTGTGTCCATATCCTTGATTTTTCAGGACTAGCCGATTTCTAGACCCAGTCTGTAAGCGAGGATTCTGCTAAAGATTTCTTTTGTCGGCTATTGAGTTTTCTGAGCAATCCTGGCAAGAATGTCATCATTGACACCCCGCGGCCTTTGCTTCATGCCAACACCTGATCCGTTACAGACACCTGTAGATGCATATAACTAGCAGTGGTATCGTCGTTTGAAGACCCCAGAAAATCAAAACACTTCCAGTGAGACGCGGATTATCATCAAGGGGCTCAAGGGGCTATTTCCACTCGCTCTTTTGTTGTCATTATCCGTTTTAACAACATCCCTGATTGGGTGCCCTATATTATTTCATTTCTTACTCTAATCTTTGCGTATGGTCTTCTAGTCTTTACAGGATGGGTGATCAGAAGACACAAGAAGAAGGCACGCAGCATGTGGAAATTTCCACCGCTGTTGACAACGAAACCATCCAACCAAACATGACTCACCCTCCACGAATCATTATCACCGAAGCAGAGTCCAAGCGAATCTGTCGGAAAACTGACAGGACTATCCTTGTTGTTCTCATGTGGGTTTACTTCTTGCAGATTCTCGACAAGACGGTCCTGGGCTATGGTGCAACATTTGGTTTGAAGACAGACACGGGGCTCACAGGCAACCAATACTCACTCATTGGTTCGATCTCATCTATTGCACAATTAATTTGGCAGCCCTTCTCATCATATCTGATTGTCCGTGTTCCGCACCGAATCCTCATGCCCATACTCGTTTTGGGCTGGGGTATTGCGCAGACGTGCATGTCGGCGTGCACAAATTTTAGTGGTCTGATGGCCACTCGCTTCTTTCTGGGACTTTTCGAAGCCGGATGCCTTCCACTATTCAGCATGATTACGGCCCAGTGGTACAGAAGAGCAGAGCAACCTGTCAGGGTAGCTGCATGGTATGGAACCAACGGAATAGGGAATATTGTGGCAGCTGGATTGAGTGTTGGTCTTTCACATATCCAGTCTGATGTCTTGAAGTCCTGGCAGATGTACGTTCTTATCTGGTCCTTGGTTACGCTTTATATCCCAGTCACGTCTATGACGTTTTCTATTTTACGATCGCTAACTCATGGAAGAATCTTTATGTTTGTCGGACTTTTGACTGTTGCTTCGGTTCCAATAATATATCTACTTCTCGACAACGACATTCCATCAGCTCGATTCCTGAACGAGGAGGAAAAGATTGTCGCTATCGAACGCCTTCGTGCCAACCAAACTGGAGCTGGAAACCGCGAATTCAAATGGGACCACGTATTTGAAGCTATAATCGAGCCCAAGACTTGGCTGTTCGTCGCCATGAGTCTGATGCTCAACGTTGGGGCTAGTGTCACAAACGTATTTGGGCCTTCGATTCTCGCTGGATTTGGATTTGATGCGGAGAAGAGCAGTTTGATGAGCATGCCTTTTGGTGCCTTGCAATGCATTGTCATCCTAACTAGTTGCTGGCTTGCGCAAAAGGCACGCTTGAAGGGTGCAGTGTGTATGGGGTTAATGCTTCCTGTCGTTGCAGGATTAGCCATGCTCTACACGATCCCTCACCATGGAAATCAAGGCCCTCTATTAGCCGGGTATTACCTTTTAGCATTCTTGTACGGGGGTAACCCACTTGTTATTTCCTGGATTGTCGGAAACACTGGTGGAACAACTAAGAGATCGTTCATATCGAGCGCGTACAATGCTGCCAGCAGCGCCGGAAATATCATTGGCCCTCTGCTGTTCAATTCGAAAGACGCACCAAGCTATCACCCCGGTGTCCGGGACTGCCTTGCGATTTTCTCTACATTGGTGGCGATTATTATCATTCAGTGGGGAAATTTGATTTTCCTGAATAAGCTACAAGAGAAAAAGCGTTTCAGGAATGGGAAGCCAGCAAAGTTGGTGGATCATTCTATGCAGGAGCATTATCACGACATCGAGGAGAACAACGAGGAACAGCCATCCGGTAGGAAATTAGATGGTGGTGACGAACTTGGCGAAAATGCATTCTTGGATTTAACGGATCGGAAGAATGACGAGTTTGTGTACATTTACTGAAAAAAATTGAGCGGGCTCTGACCTTTGATAAATTTGTACAATTGATGCTTCGCATGTATTATGTAGCCCCCTTACGTGAAGAGACTGGAGGCCTTCAGGTATATAGAGACTCTTGATGAATTGACATACATACTAGAGGCGTTGTATTCTGTTACAGGGGAGTGACTGGAATTCTTTTGCAAACCTGCTGTAATATTTCTTCCGAGGTTCGTCGAGCACTTGAGCCGTTAATACGATGAATGAACTGGGAATGTACATATGCAAGATAAGGATACCTATTTTTCTGTACAACCAACCTTGGAACCTTGGAACTTGTGCTCAAAGTACCAATAACCCCATAAGCACGTCTATGTAGAATAAATCTCTCATAGCGATCAGTATTGAATCGTTTCTATTCGGTACTAGGCGTGCAGAACTGAAAGGATGTGTAGAAGTCCCTATATATCCGTGAGTTTGGGCTCTCGGGTCATCTGTCATCTCAAACGGCTGCCTTAAACATCTAGCAAGGAGGGTGTAGAATAGTATCCCAGGGTTTGTGGCAAGCATGGACGAGGGGTTAGGTGGCAATATATACCTGCTCAGGTGATAGTTTATCGACCACGTCCTGTCTCAGAAATTTATAGAGGTGACGGGTGACATGTAGACATGTAGACATCCTGAAGAGCCATCGATTATAAATCGTCCCACGCGGTAATAGACAGGCAATAGACTATCTCCTCAACGAGCGAGGGCACTCTAGCTAAATCATTGACTTTGGCTGCGATTGTATCAAGTTTAGAGGGGCCGGCAGCGTCTCGAGCCATGTTGTAGAAAAGGGTTACTTGATATGTGTGAAAATAAGAAGAATGGCAGGGATTTGAAGGGATTTCACTGGCTTCTTATACTTGTCACTTCGGATCCTGTTCTTGGACCTAGCAATGTTTCCACCAACCCAGAACAACCTCCGGTAAGAGTACTTATCTAAGTAGGCATACCAGGATAATGTTGGTCTCAGGCAACGCTTAGGGCCTCGCTGACTCGCAGCATCTGAATAAAAATAAATATAAATATCAAAACCCAGACTGCTTGAATGTTGAGGTCGGCCAGCAGCAGGGACAACCAGGATGGCTCAAAGCAGGGGCTTGACTATTCTTATCACGATATGGACATCCATATTGATCACACCTATCTTTGTTGCCGGACGAGTGTGTACACGAATTAAGATACTGAGAAGCATTGGTCTGGATGACTACTTGATAACATTCTTGGCCTTGTCTTTTTTGGCCTTACAACGGCCGAAGTAAAAGCCAGCAATAGCCAGTATGGGGATGCATTATTACCTAGTAGCTTCGAACGAGCGGTAATGTTGAATATTGCGGGCTTTACTCCTGAGATTTCTCTTGTTTGTGCTGCCTAAACTCGGTATAGTTGCCCTTCCTTACAAATCTTCAATCTGAGTTAGTAATAGAGGATCTTCTTATGGACTTTCATTAGTGGTGGAGATCTGATCATCTGTAGATGCATTGTCATTATCTACGCGCAGTGCCGTCTGACGAAGGGCCTATTGATATCTGGGCTAGGAAAATGTCGGGACCCGGCGATATTAGTAGACTACTCAATCTTCGCTGGGGGTACGTATTTGCTGACTTGGATAGTAAGATGAAGCCAAGTGTGTGCAGCACTGCCAGCTTCTATTCTGGTGATGTGCTAAGATTATATCCGCTAACCCCTATCTCCTACACATGAAGTAATATATGGAGAACTCGATTTCAGAATGCAATCCCTCAAGGGAAGGGAAATACGATTGAGATGGACTTCTACTACAGTCCCAAGGCTGACTACCCACAATCCACCAATAATCCGAATTGCTACTGCAGTGCATTCGTGCTATACCCCTCTCCCCATGTATGCCCCCGGGCCCATTTCATGGCCCCCAGTTATAGGAGCCGCACTTTCACTATAGACTCCCTGGCGATGCTTGCGGCGTCTCTTGTCCCGGTTCTTCCACGGTCGAGAGAGAATTGGCCCTTGTTCAGATTCCTCGAGCCTATCTAGCTTCAACCCCACAAGGAGGAAGATGGTAACCACCAAGAACTCCACAACGAGGGACATCAAGACCTGAACCAAGATGGGTCCGTTAAGACGAGAAAATGTCCCTCGGTGGACAAAGACAATCAAAACCTGATATAATAGCCGGACAAAGACAAGAGGCAACGCGAGACCAATGGCAGGCACCAGGATGCGCTCCTGCGGAGGGATCATTTGTACGAATGGGAGTGACCTAAATATCATATAAACCAACATAGCATATGTGACTACGTAGCAAATGACCGCGACATGGCTCCATACCGAAGGCGAACTCGGATCGATGTCGCTATTGTTGCTACCGTTACTGCTGCTACCGCTATTCACAGCACCAATAATACCGAATACTGCGCCCAATACAACGAAGAGCTGCGCTAAGCGGAAGTGTGTCACTGAAAGCAGTGGGGAGGAGGATCGTGCGTTAATCCAGTCGACTCTATTTAGTCAAAGGAGGAGGGAGTTAGGTCGATTGAGATTTTATCCAGGGTGAAATTGAGCAATACGCACATTCGTGATAGCATTCCAAGAGTTGACAGCAGAAGAGGAGTCAGCCCAATATGGTTCAGGACCAGGACGGCTTTGACAAGACCGACAGAAGTGGTATCGGCCAATGTCAGGAGCTGACAGACAGCTCCTACGATCCGGATAAGACATAGGGTAAATGTATAATACCAGCTGTTTGCATGATATCAACACAAGTCAGTCCAAGTCAAAACAGTTTGAGAAAATACAAGAGGAATAACAGAGAGTCATCGTACCCAGAACTGCGACTGAAACTATGACGAGCGCAAACGAAAAAGGCCAAGATGATTGCTGGTATGTACACCACCAGTTCCGCGATAGCAATGATAGAACTCGTACCTAGATGCATAGTGATGGCGTAGAAGAGTATAACGTAATGGCTTTCTCCTTAATTCTTCCAGTAAAGAGGAGGCGGTTGAGTTATGATAATTTTCAAGATCAATTTCTAGGCCATGTTACTGTTCATATACCCTATATTCTACATTACTAGGCAACCTAGACAACAAGCTAAGTGAAGATCGCTCAGAGCCGAGGAGGATACCAGTAATTCATTATCGCCTAGCAATGTGATTGGTCAATATTCACAAATTTCGAAAAAGACTTCGAATTGCACCCCCATTTTTGGCTTAGCGTCAGTTGAGCTGTGCCACAGATGCTCTAACCCTAACCTAAATTGGGTATGCAGTGAGAATGTTTAATGATGGGACGCGCTTAAATCGACGCTATCGGCTCCATGTCTCGATCCATTTTATGCAGTTTTGGTCAGAGGCTGGGTTGAAGTGCGCTTTCGCAAGTGGGAATGCGATCGTTCATGGTGCTCAGCCCCGTGATGCTTCGGAGATATCTCCATTGTCATTCTTCTACTGGAGTAAGTGTATATCCACCATATCTGGTATGAAGTACATCCTGATTCAAGTATGTACCGCAATTTCGAGGTTTGGGCTCGTATTTTTCCATGGCGTGAGAACAAACCTCACAAATACCCACTCTCTGGAGCCTATCCACCTGCAACGTTGAAGAAAGTGACGTTACTCCCATGAGTACTCCATAATAAAATATCAGATAACTCCCAGCCGAGGATTTGACTGAAGGGGACAAGAGTGAGGCGCAGCGAATGGATAACTGATGCATAGAACCACTTGAAAGACCTTGCGATAGTCCATAGCGGATTTTCCAATGCTACCAATACAGATAGCCATTTTCTACTACCATAGCGACGTCTATTGACCAATTTTTTCCCCCCTAAGAAGTAGCGGCGGTGGGAAGTGGCCCTATGACGTAAAGCTTTTCTGTTATCTCCAAGAGGGTTGGACAGTATCTTAGACCAGCCAAATGTCGAGTCTTTTTTTTTGGTGGTGATTCCGTGGCCACGGCTCTGGTGAGCCCGAAAATGTAGATGAGCTGCAGGCTAACCGCTAGATATTTAACTGTCTATAGCCTGGTTCCTTTATGTTGGCTGATGATATATACACGCTTTGTATAAGCATATTAAGGTGGTATATAAGTGGGATATTGCAACAGACTTGATGAAGAAAGGCGGTCGTATTAAGTGGAAAGACCTTCGCTCAACCGTCTTTTCTTCTCATTATCAAGAGAGATGACACAAATGTAGCCTTTGGTACTTATGTTAGATATGAAATCACGTTAGAGCTAGATAGATTAGAAATTCGTGCTTACCAGTCTTCCATACTTTGTTGCTCATCAACCATATTTATGGCTTCCGCCGCCTGCGGTATGCCCGTATATTCGCCGAGGGTTTGCAGACTGTCTCGAGCATATTTCTGCGCCGAATCCGTCGCAAAACTGGAGGTAGCCACGGCTGACAATGGCCATATTAACCACCGTGCTACGGTCTTGTTGGAGTATATCGAGGAGGGCAGACACTGGAAATATGTAACACTGCGGAGGATATCTACCACCATTGACTGAGCATCAGTCGTTGCAGACTCGAGTATTTTCGCTGGAAAGATGGCATGTGTGTCGTCTCCGTTCAATAGACTATCTTCTATGGCTGTAGCAGCACGATGGATCCATTTATTGACGAACAACTTCATCATGCGCAGAATATTCCAGTGCCGGGCTGCCTGGGGCGTTTGGTAATGGTGAGCAACGTCCTGGTAAGCCGGGGACGGTGTATCGGCGGGGCACATGAAATCGTAGGGACATATTTCTTCAAGCTGCTTCATCAGATGGGCGATTTTCGCGCTCAACTCACCCCCCTGGTGTACAACAGCTTCATGGTCGAGCCGGTCTGCACCAACGACTGTCATTCGTGCCAAAAGTTTGGCCATAGAGTCTGCAACATGACCCAGACCAACTTCTGGACTGTCTTCTCCTATAATACTGCCCAAGTATGCTCGCAGCTCGGAGATAGCGGCGGGCGGAGCGACACGGCGCTGTGCACATAATGCGTAAACATTGTTGCTGACGTCAACAAACAAGGCACGACCGAGAGCCGACTCAAACTGACGGGGTCCACGCAGCTTGATAAGTTCCACCGCACCGTAGACATGGACCATCCAGCTCTTAGCCGAGGTGCTGCGCTGGAATGCAATGGCCTCGAATAGAGCTAAAAGTAGGACGGAGGCAAGTGTTGCATCAGTGATGGCTAGTTGAGCAGACATTAAGGCGATATTTGTCTCCTTAATAGCAGCTGCGTATCTCATTCGTGCAAAACTCATTAGAGATGGCTGGTTGACCTCATGGGACAACATTGCTAATGCTGGGGCAAGCATTGCGGACATTGGAAGCATGTCTGATAGAGAGGAAGAGGTGGCCATAACTGAAAGATACGCCATTGGACATGTAGGGGCGTAAAAGGATAAAAAGAAAGAAATCGCAGCATCTTCTGGTGCTAGTGTAAAGGTACTGCATAGAGTCAGTTTGTCACGGTCTGGAATTGCTGTGGTTGCTGTGGAATAAACATCTGTAGGTGAATGGTCAGATAACCCTGGAGTGTGTTCATTCACAGGTGTTGTAGGCAACAGATCGGTTTTTATACTGGCATTGTATTTTGCCTGTTTTGCTTTCTTGTCTCTTCGTTTCCGCACTCTGTTTACAGTCGCAACAGTTTGATCTCTAATGATGACGGTTGCCGGGTCTCGGTATCCCGGGCAAGGAATGCGCTTCCGGGCACACTGGCCACAGCCAGGTTTCCGTTTATCACACTTAAAGAGCGCTGCTTAGCTGAGTAGACTTTGGGACAGCAGTAACTCGACTAACCTTGCCACGTTTCTCCCGACAAGCATGACAGGCAGCGGATGGCCGGCCGCAATATGCCATAGGTTCCGAGTAGGAGCTTGAAGATGTACTTATTCTTCCATTGTGCAATGACGAAGGATAGGTCTATTTCTCTGTCGTCATTCCTCGAAAGATGAAAGTCTTGTATGACTCCAACCTGGAGAGAAACGACCGATCTCAAGGACCCACACTGATTGGTAATACGAAGACCTGTTTCGGTTAGTTTTCCCATTTACAGACTAGTTCGCCTAGTGTAACGTAATCGGACACCGAGCGGGCCAGTTCCCTCCGAAAAACGCACTCTATACGAATTTCAAGCTTGAATTTCTAACCCACATACAAAATATATACAATTTTCTAAGTAGTAGTACGATTTGGGCATCGATTTATTCTATGCCCGACAATCCCACATCCACTGCATTTCGGTGGCGCTCGTACGCGTGGTTGAGAGGCCTGAGGTTCGGATTCGACTGGTGCAGCCGGAAGAGGTTGAGAGGCCTCACCTCGACTAGTTATTAGTTCCTGGGCTTCCTGCGCTGTAAGAGATCCTTGATGAGATATTTGTGCTCTAGATCGTTTACGTTTTTGCTTCTCCTTCTCATTTGCAGCCCGTAAATCATGCACCTCTTTCTGTATAATCAGAAGCTCATTCCTGCTCATTTCGTATGCTTTGGACAGCCGGTTTATCGCTTGATCAACCACCTCAAATGGACCTGTTGTAGCTCATTTATACGCTTCTTTATTGTTGCCGTCTGACGATTGAATTGGCGTGGATTTTGAGGTGTTTGCTGGCAAGAGGATTGTGAATTACTTGATCGACTGGGAGGTGGTGTTGGAGTGCGAAGTTGAACTGTAAGCTTTTGATAAACACGATCTGGATCAATGGCACCAATCCAGTTGCCTTGAAGCCATTCTGATATTTTCAGCTTTATACGCCAT